GTGAAAGACTACTCGGTCTGTGTAACGGCCTTGCATGCAAATTCTCGGATTCCTTATTGCTGCCTAATGTGATACGAAATGCAAGGGATGTAATCAGAACAATACCTCGGAAAGGTAAACCTAGCTTCAAGCTCTGCATCGGAGCACTCATTGCGCGTTTTCACTTAGGCTAAAAAGCCGCAGCACCCATCATCCACGCACAGTTTAGTTGGTAGGATCGACTTATGTGACCCCCTAACCAGGACATGGGAACGGGTACCGCCCGTAATGCGGTGTCTTTGAGCCAACCTCAAGTGAAATTAGAGGTAAGTCAAAGATTACGGTTAGGGTTATGTTGGAGATTAGGTTTGAGGCTAGATTTAAAGTTAACGGTAGGGTAAGTCAGGATCAGGTTTAGAGAGAGAGAGAGAGAGAGAGAGAGGACTGCTTTATTTTGAAAATAACTTTCAAAACTTTCAGCAAAAACGGTTCTCCAGTACACAGTGATTACCATAGAGATTGACAGGTTTTGGACAGGAGGACATGATTATATATGGAGAAAAAAGGACTTTAAGGTGCAAGGTCGTGTTTTAGTTTTTGTTTTTCAACATCTTTGCAGGTGAGATACCGGGCTAGAAATGGCAGTATGGAATTCCGATAGGCCGAAGTGCGGCAAGGGATGTGGCGGAAGCATCGACGCATGGGGCGTAAGGATTTCGCAGCCATTAACTCATTATGAAGGGGATGGACGGTGTCATTCAGAATTCGGTCAGCGAATTGCTCCACCGAGTTGAAGTGTCGCTGCACGATGATATCAACTAAAATATGATAGGAAACACCAGCAGCAGAGGCGAGCATTCGAATGACACGTTTAAAAATAATTAGATCTTTTTTAAGTAAGGCTGGAAAAATAACTGGAGAGCAATAAAGAATGAGTGGAAGAATACAGCCATCTATGAATCGCCAGATTAAGGACTGGGGTGTGTGATATGAACGTAGACGACGAATGTAATAAACAAGTTTTTGAATTTTTGTTAAAAGGGTTTCCATATGAAGAGAGAAAGAGAGATTTGAGGATAAAGTAACACCTAGGTACCGGAAAGAAGATACCTCATTGGGAAGAATATCCAAAGGTTCAGGAAAGGGAGAGGGTCGCAATCGAAACACACACTGCACTGATTTCTGATTGTTGAGTAGGAGTCCATTATTCGAAGACCATGCGGAGACGTGATCTAAGCCATCCTTTAAAGACTGTAGGTGAGTCAGGTTTTTGAGTGGGTGGCCTACGACCATGTCATCGGCATACTTAACATACAGGCAGTCGTTTGGCGATCTCAAATCATCAGTATGTAGGGAGAAAAGATGAGGGGATAAGATGGAACCTTGTAGAACTCTACAATCATTTGGAAGAATAGCAGATTTTCTCTTTCCCGACTGGACAAACTGAGTGCGGCAGGAAAAATAATCTCTAAGCCAAGAGACAACCCAGCTCGGAGTGTCGCACGCAGCTGCTTTGGTCAGGAGGAGTTGGCGCGGGATAGTGTTGAAGGCGGATGAGTAGTCGAGAAAAGCACATGCATATGCACGGCATCCCTTGTCTAAGTCTCTCAAAGCTGAATGAACAACTAAAGCAACAGCATCCACGGTGCTACGCTTTGCCTTGTATGCAAATTGTAGAGGATCAGAAAAATTGACAGAGGAGTACTTAAGGGAATCTAATGCAACTCGTTCAGTAAGTTTCAGGAGTGCTGAAGAGCAGGCAATAGGACGGAAAGATTTAGGAGCAAAAGTTAAAGATTTTTTAGGGATTGGAGTAATTCTTACTGTACGCCAGGCGTCAGGAATCTTGGACTCTATGAAGGATAGATTAATAAGGTGGGTCAAGACGGGAGCTATCTGCAAACAGCAAGACTTAAGGAGAAAAGGAGAGACACCGTCCGGCCCAGCCGCCGTTGACCCGCGAATCTTCTTGAGATGGTGTTCCACCGTTGTCACAGTCACAGGAGTAAAGTAGGTAGGGGCTAGCGCCAATTGCAGAGTTAAGGATTAGGGTAGGGTTAGGGTCAAGATTAGGGCGACAGTCTAGTTTTATATCAGGGTTATTGTTGGGGTCAGGACACTGGAATATTTCGCCCTTTCCGGAATTATGCGCAGGTCAGTCTTTACTACTTGTGCGGAGCGTGTCTATCCCCCTGTCCTGTTTAGGGGGGCCATATAAGTCAGTTCTGCCGTTTGATTAATGGATAGAGGTTTTAGCCCTGGAGATGTGTAATTGGCTTAAGGTGTGGTATAGTTTCACATGTCTTTTCAATCACCAATGTAACTGCCCAATCCACGACCAAGACTTAAGACCAGGATGCCAAATCTCATGTCAAATGTCCACTGAATGACACTCAACGGTCAGATGTGGTCATGTAGCCTGACATGAGGTAAACAAACCCCAGGCGCCTGTAATACGGGACCTGTGATGATAGATGTTTCTACATATGGGGCTGTGAAAGGCACAGGCGACGATCTCAAGTAGGTGTATGCAAAAGAAAAGCTACTGGGAATGCGCGGTTGTACTTTGAATGGTTGAGAAATAGTTACCCTAACCGCTAGCCCCAACCCCTAACCCCAAACCTAACCCTTAACTGCAACCATAAGCCCAAGTTGGAAGGAGACGACAGGCCGGAAGTCCCGAAGGACCACCGCCATTGGGCCGAAAAAGGTAGACACGGCAACAAAGAAACAGGGCCGCCAACAGAACACACACCGCAAGGCACAGCAACACCAGGCCAACGTATTACACCAACTCAAAATAATTAAGTATGTCAACCGTATTGTGTCCATCAGGTGCGGCTACCTAACCACATCTTACTCATGCATCTGTATATGTGGTATGCGTTATTTTGCAGAAACACTAAGGTGGTTGTGTTTTCAGAAAGTGTGCATAAGGAGCCGTGATGGAAAAAAACGGTGATTTTTTGAAAAGCCACATCTTAATTGACTATCCAATAGTGCGAAACGCGGCAGACTCTGTGTGTGATTCGAAATCGTGGCACAGGGAGAGTGCCTCGGTGGCGTAACGCCTTAACTATCTAACCTACGAGGTCCGACCAAAAATCTGGTGCTCTTTTCGCTGAGGATCGAGTACCCGTAATTCGGTAGTCAGTTGGCTCATTCGAATATTCCAAAAAACACCTTCGACAAGATACGCCATCTTTGATTCATAAAGAAGATTCAGTCCGTCCGCTTTGTTGCGGTGTTTAGGTACACGTTTCTTCGACTAGTGTGGCTGCGCTTTATGAATTCCTTAATGATCCTCCGATATGAACGTTCTCAGGTTTACAAGTGCGCAAATGAGAGACTTCGATTGAGGTCTTAAATTATACTGCTTCAAGAATAACCGGGTTTTGATTGTTTTCCAATCTTTCTTCCGGGTTAGCCCAGGTCTCGCGTCACACTAATGCGGCGCGTTTCATCACCTGGGAATCGCAAGACGATAAATTACAGTTGATCCTCAAGAGGCATCTCCTGCACGAATACGACCTAGTTATAGCTAAAATAGATTGGATTTCATTTCTTCTTCTAAAGTATGTGTGCCACCCTCTTAGGCCTGAGCCTAGAAAACCATTACATCAGTCCTCTCAAAAACACTTGCTGGTATTTTAGCAGCCAGCACTTAAACTTTAAAAAGACCACTGGTAGATTCAAGGACGACTGCCAGGACGAGTACTTTCGGAGTTGTTTGTCGCCCTTCACTAGTTTTTTTTAAAGCATGAAATGCAGTTAAAAAAGATTTGTCTTCCAAACCTACGCAGCAGCTCTTGAGTATGGCCGGACATTTGACACGCGAGACCGACTAGCACTGTTATTCTGACATTTTAAATATTCAAGCATTATTGGCATCTTTTATGCCTCCAGCTACAGTACTGCTCTAAGAAATGTGTACCTGCATCAAAAAATCTTGCAAGCCTGACTTCCCTCCATAGAAGTCGGAGTATATATCCAGGAGTTCTAACGACAACGATAAGAGACGCTGGACAAGCAGCTCTCCCCAATACAGAGGCCCCCATATGACGCGTGGGGTTGCGCAATCCAAGGGGAGGAGGGGAGGAACGTGCGTGTCGTGTGGGCGTAAAAAGTGCTTGCACCCACTGCGCGCGCGCACGCAAGTCGTGCTCACTGGGTGACTGAGACACGTACGTGCGCACCATATCCCGTGCTCATGGCTTGCTTGTCCGGCGCACACGAAAAGACCAGTAGACTGACACACAGACTGCCTTACGCCGCCCGCGACTGACCGAGAAACGATGACGGGCCGTGCAAATTGCCGCCGCGCCCTTCCCCTATTTTATTGACCCATTCTGGTGAGGAAACGCCTACTCTCGTGCGTGTGTGCGTTTGCGCGCGCGTGCGTGCGTGCGTGTGTGCGTGCAGGAGTCGCCGTCCCATCTCCAACTCGCGTAGGGCGGACGGGCATTGAGCTTCCTTTCGCTATATTCCCAAAGACAACCAACCCGGCAACCGGTCAAACCTTACTTATAGAGGCCTGTCCGCCAGGCGTTAACACTGCCGCCTGTGCGTGCCCCTGCTTACGCGTTCATACGCTCGCGCATGCGCGCGCCAGGTTTTCAGAGTTGCTAGAATTAGCTATCAGTCTCTAGAATCCACGCCAGATTTTGGTGAGATCGAAGAGAAGCGCCGTTCATGCGTAACAGTGGGTGCCTGCGCTAATTCCAGCCTTCGTTCGTCGCCTCGTTCTCACCCTTCGTTACTCCACTTCACTGTCTGATCACTAGGTAATAATACAGGCTGATATTAGCTCTGCCGCCTTGGCTAAGGATGAATCCAAACTGGACCTGGACTCGGCGGGGAAATGTGAGCCGCTGAGTGTGCGATTTTTGATGTCCTTGTGTGCGTGTGTGTGTGAATGGACGGGGACAAGCGGACAACGACGGCCCCATCAAGAACCCTTGCTTCCTCCGATGAACCACACTCTCTCTCCTGTGCTGTCTTCACGTCTACCTTCAATCTGAATGGGTACTACGCATTCGCATTCGGCCTCCGTGAGAGTTTCACCCGTTTGTACCTACCAGCACTGCGAGGGCGATGAACAACGCATCGCTCCTATGTTGGAAATTAGCCGTTCAACAGGCTCTGAACCCTTCCTCTCCTCCTCACGGTCATCATTCCGTCGACTGGCCGCTGCCGCTGAGAACAGCACACACAGCCGAAAGGAGGTTTTCTTTCGCAGTCATCAACTCACTGATGCAGGCGTTGGTTTTGACGGTGTTTCTAGTGTTGTCTCCGGTGTTGAGTTTGGCGGCGAAATCAACAGCATGTGCAAGACAATCGACTTCGTGGATCCCCATCGTCCGTCGGTTGCTCATCGGCGCGCCGACTCCCTGCTCCCTCATAACGGTTTTCATGACCATCTCGCCTGTTTTGACAGCAGCACAAACTGGAAAAGGCATGCTAGTCAAAGGAGGACGAGATCGAAGCCTTTCAAACAGACCTCCTACAATTCTACGAATTCTTCCTACATTCCAGATGTCAGTCCCGATAATGGCAGTCTAGATCAGCAGACAGAGACTGATGCCTATTCATCAGCGTTTGTGACTGCAAATGAGCATTTACAGTGTCACGGCCGGCCCAACAAATTGCAGCCCGAGGGCACTGTTTGGAATCTCAATGGTTTACATATGCTCGATCAGGCAGCCTACCGTTTGTGGGAAAGTCAGAATCGGTTGCCCTCATCGCTGAGGAGGGAAGAACAACGCTTCCCATTTAATATGCCCATTCAGTCGCCTGGGACTGGCCCAAGCTCCCTAAATGCGCAACCACAAGAAAATTCGCCAACAGGCGTCCATCTTTCCCGGAATCGCAACAAGTTAGACATTTTGCGCTGTGACACAAGGTATCGACTGGCCCAGAGGCGCCATTTCTCAGAACTGGATCTACATTTACAGGGACCATGTACTTCGGTCACCTCCCCTCCAACACACCTGCCCATTTCGGCTGCTTACAATGTGAGCAGTTTTGAGTGCGCGGACCTAACCACCCAGGAGACTCAACTGTCGGCTCAGAGTGCGTCAGAGTACCAGAAAGACACTGTGGCCATCCAGAGTCCACCCCTCCGTTTGCGGATTGAGCGCGAGGACAGTCTGGATCCCTACAAAGGCCAAGTAAACCGAGGCTCGGTCTACTACACTGATAAGTCTATTCCCGACTACGGGACTACCACTGAGGCGGGGGATGAAAAGGAGGAGAGACAGAGTGGTCCATTTAAGTCTCTCTTTAGCAGTGAGGCCGAGCTGATTAGTGAAGGTGATTCTGAATACTACCACGACTACGTCAACCTGCCATCACAGCCTCAAGTTCCACATCAGCACCAACGCACACGCAGCTGTAAGGTGCCTGAAGTTGGGGTCAGTAGTCTCACACCGCTGTCTAAGCCTGACTGTAAGGAAGGTGGCAATGGGCTCACCAGGCTGGAAGTAGATCGGACGACGTTTGCTACCGGTGCTATCCTGCCTAATCCCTCCTCAAATCAAGGCCAAGAGAGGCGCCCCTCTAAATCCAGGTGGCGTCTTTTAACGCGAGGAAAGAGTCTGACCAAGTCCCTCTCCTGTTACGCCCTAAAGTTTTTTAACCAGCAGACTCGCACCTTTGAGCTGATCGATGCACCGTCACAGCAATCACAACAGAAGCCAAAAGGTGGAGCGACGGCTACCGCTAATTTCCGCAAAGTCTCGGAAGGGGCGACGCGGACCAGATCAGAGGTAATATCGAGCGAACCACCGGAAAGGGAGGGACTGTGGCGAAAGGATTTAGCCTCGTCGCGCGATGCTCCACCGCCTGACGCCTTTGACGATCTGGACAACCTGCTACAACGAGCTCTATATGTAAACGAGGAGACACGACCAGTGTCAGGTCCTTGCCGGGAGAAGCGGAGAAATGTGATGAACCGAAGCCTGAGTGCTTTTGGCAAGAGGGAGCTTGTCAATCATAGGCAGGCAAAGGCGGCACAAAGGAGAGCGCCCCCCTCCTCCTGGAAATTCACCAAACGTGATCGTATAACCCTGCTGCAGACGAGTACACGGGAACTTCTTCACTGTCTTTCCATGTTTATACTGCAACAATGTGATAGACTCTGTGTGGCTCATAAATCCCCTCTCTATCCCGAGGACATTGTGTCCTGGATAAAGGACATAGACCGAGCACTCCTGCAACAGGGTTGGACAGACATTACTTTCCTTAGTCCGGCAAATATTGTGTTCCTCTTTGTCCTCCTGAAGGGCTCAATTAACTTCCGAATAACCTGCAGCCGGGAGCTGCATTCTATCGTCATGGTCTGCCTCTATCTTTCCTACGGTTACATGGGGAATGAAATCAGCTACCCGCTGAAGCCCTTTCTAAATGCGGAAATTCTTTACAGTATGCTGCACGAGAAGGAACCCCAACGTCTACGCACAATGAACTCAGCGAACTCAGTAGTTACGCGCAACCCCAAAATAACTAATCACTTTCGAGAGCAGTTCTGGGAAAAGTGTCTCATGGTTATCCAGGCCAAGAGTCGGGAAATGCTGCAGCTAAACGCGGACCCGATTGTGTTCACGGAAAGTATAGCAGAGTTACGATCCTATGGAACACCGGCACTACAATCGGCTTGAAAATCTATGACCCAATTACGAACAACGCAAGGTGAGCCGCCATGCTCATTCTACAGATTCTGTCCTTCATTATCCGACGAAATGATTCCCCTATTTACATGAAACTCCGTCGTTAACGCTGCAGGAACAAAATATTCAAAGTCTTGAGGGAACGTAGACTCCTCATTTGAACCAATTTTGCCAAAGTTCGCTACGACGATTACAGATTCTCGGTTATACTTCTTTTAATTCTACCATTCTGCCGCATTTTTTACAGTCCAGCAGATCAAAAAGCCAATCGAATTATTGAGTGAATTAAATCATTTGAGAATTCACACTCACAAATACGCCCTGCGCTACCCACTCCCCTGACTCTTGAAACACCGCCATTTTGTTTGACATAAATTTAAATCCCGTGCAGGAGTAAAGTGGATTCAAGTGTGGTAATTCGATGCTTCGGACAATAATTAAGAGCATATTAAATATAAAGGCTATCAGAAAGGAAATTATGAAAACAATGCTCACATTTAAACATTATCTACAACCCCTACGATGGAATGCATTTTGTTTGTTTCTTTCGGATTAAAAAAATGATGTGCACAATAATTGGTTTTCTGCTTTTACGACTGCAAACCGGCAGGGTTCTTCTTCTCCCCTGGTAATAACGAAAATAAGGAGTTAACCAAATGTGTGTACATTTTGGACTCCGTAAACTTCTCAAATCAGTGAAAAGCAACTTTTTCCGTCAACTACCGCACCTTTTAATGGAAAAACAAGGGGCAATTATGTACTTCTTCTTTATCAGGGCCATACTTCTACGTAAATTATTATTACCTTTCTGCTAAGGAGTTACAGGATCGAGCCTTGTTGGCGATCCTTTTTGCCGCAAAATGGACTGACCTACCAAAAGCATATCGACAGTGCTCTCAAAACTTCCTGAACATGAAATCGTATGAATAAAACCTCTACAAGAACACAAGCTGTTATTCTATTCAAATAATTCCTGGGGCAAAATGAAAATAGAACTATTTCGTCAGTATCCACCTGGTAATCAAATGCGGTTACCATGCTGTGCAATGAAAAATTTAAGAAGGCAAACAGTGAATACCCTCGAATCTACACGACTATCTCAGTCTAACGCGAGCACTTACTCGCCAGATTATGCACAGACTTTCAGTATGGGTCGTGGGGTACTTCCCATTCCGTCTGAAGAGTTGTGCATCTGCGTGACTTTAGCCAATTTCGGGTGGTTCCCAAAGGCTGTATATGTCTTTTTCCAAAAAGACTTCTCTCAAAAGCTGAAAGGTAACATCCCTAACAAGCTAACACTCAGGCGGTCATTTTACAGCACTTGAATCCTACCCAGCTTTTGGACTAGTAGCGTCGCGAAACCGCCTTAATATGGTCATGTCAACCAATGATTTATGATGGCTAATTTGCATTAGTATGTTTGAAAAAAATTACTTTAAAGTGTTCGGTGTGTTATGTATCAGCGTAACAAGTCATCGCCAAGCTAACATTAGGCTGACGATGAAAAATACTTTCGACATTTAAGATTAACAGTTTAAAGCGTCTATTAAACCCTGTTAAGCCTAACTTACGTGGACTAAATCAAAAAGACCATCTTTAGAAGTGATGGATGACGCAGGCCAACGACAGTGTGGGGAAATTGGGGCAACATTTGTTTCGTCGTACACATGAGACTTCTCGGAATGACGACAGTATACTTCAAATAAGAGGGTGTATCAGCAAAGCGACGGGTAGATTAATATGGTAAAGGTTCGGGTTTGTTTTGTCTTCATTCATTTATAAAAGTAGCTATCAGCTGGGATCAGATACAAACGCGCGCAAGCACATAGAGCAGATGACCTACAGACAGATTCTATCAAATGGGTCAAATGCATTTGGTGGAACCGATGTTCACCAGTGCCCCACCACCTGGCATTACCCGAATCTGCCGAATGAGCGTTTTCCCATACAGGAAGTGGCGCAGACCGATTAAAGTGACTTCATTAAATTAAACAATCTCTCTTAGTGGGCGGCGAGACAACCACCTGTTCGGTCAAACTCGACTAAGAGGGGGGGGGGGGAGGTCGACAGAGACGAGGGTAGACTAACACAGAACGGTTTTGGCCTTTTGCTCCACCCATTTGGCCGATCATAGCCCCGACCACGATCTGACTGCAGAAACATGGGACTTACAAATGGTGTCTATCAACTGGCGTCGTAAGCACTTACTTTAACCTCCTTACACCTGTTCTCTGTGTGTGTGTGTATTTATCTTCTGCACTTAAGTCAAATAAGACTTCGGGAAGCACTTGACGGAATCCATACTACAATAGCTCTATACTAGGTCAACAAACCTTCTTCTCACAACAATTTCCCCCAGCGAGTGCAAAATATGCAAATTTGGTTTTCTTTATTATACCTCGAGCTTCCTCTGACACAAAAGAAGAAATAAGGCAAAGGCGACGAAGCATGCAGAATTTATTGACGTCATAAATTTTGAGACCTCTTGTCCAGCTGCCCACGGTCATCGCATGCTTGGATGACTTCTCTCCCCCTCTCCCCCCCCTCGCCATGCGCACCTGCATACTGAACAAGGACCCATGGCTCATGTTACCTATCACATTTTACCTCTCTAGATCGATCTATGATTGAAAAGTTGACCTTGTCATATAAATATGCAATGACCGTGTGTAGCTGAATAAGGGATCTCGAAATTTATGACGTCAATAAATGCTGCATGCTTCGTGGCTTTTGTCTTATTCAAATTATTCCGGGAAAACATTGCCTCCATCTACAAAAGAAGGAGTTAAAAACGCCTACCCATGAATAAGGTCGAGTCGAATTTTTTTGAATGCGGGCCTGCGACTTTTATTGCCTCCACTGGGAAATGACAGTATAATAAATGCGCATCAATGGTTAAATTAAACTATTTCAGGGAACCTTGAAAGTAAGTTCTAATTGTCTTTCTTACCGGTTGTCTTAGTAACCTCAGGAGGCGATTGCTTTGAATGTAAAACATGTTGACTGTTGTTTAAAGCTAAAACTAACACATAGAGCTGGGTTTGACGACGGCAGCAAAGGTCTCCTCTGCCATTCGACTGTTTCCCGTCGTTCAGAATAACGAATGAAAAGTTCACAGCGATTGGAATTTGCTCCAAAACCTCACATGATAGTAACAAAATTATAGTTCATAAGATGTTGCCTAGGCAATGAAAGAATCAAACAAGACGCGAAAAAAGAACAAAAGGGGAAAGACGATACCGTGCATATGACGAACTAAAGCGCTAAGACATACTGCAGGATGGAAATCAGTAGACCATTAAAAAAAATACGGCTTGCCCTGATAATTCATAGTGTTTTGATTCACAGACTTGCTCTTTCCACGGCTACTTTTTTTGTTTTTTCTTATTTGGGTTGGCTGGATGGATTCGACTCAAGAAAACGCTGAGGTCCAAATGTCCTAAATCTCTTTAAATGAACGTAATCCTTCTGTACCACTTACTGGTACTGAGACGTCCCATGAGTCGGGTTATCAGATGTCTTTAGCATTACCTTTTAACGCAAGGGAAGTTTACCATGGACATCTTAGGTGTTCATCGGATAGCACTAAACTAACCTTAAAAATCTGTTAGTTAACGCGCTTAAGATATATTGGATGTGCACTGTATGTGCTATTCCATGAAATGTTGACCGAAATCATAAAATGCGTTTTCGATTCGAAAAGATTACTTAAGTAGGGTTGTAGTATTAATTATCGTTCAGCATAACCCCAAGATATGTCACTCACGACCGGAGGCCCACATTTCAATGGACTTCTTTCGGACCGGTCACATAAACTGTACTCTGAAAAAAGTGGCACCTAAATAGTATGAATTTTCTCAACGACTTTCGATGCCCTTATAAATTCATGTACATTTTGTAGAAAGCATGCTCTAAATATACTTTCTAGTGGTAGGGGGCGCCCACCGATCGTTCTTACGGAACTCACTCGTTCCGTTGTGCCTTACGGGCTCTCTCTCGAGCCCAACCAGCAGCCGCACAGCGGCGCATAATATAGGCAGTATGCTATTGCCGACAAAGACAAGGAAGACTGGAATGGCCATTTCTGGCTTATTAGCCGTCGTCAGCCAGTCATAACCAACCCCGAAGTGTGGAACACCAGAGGCTCGAACTCGCGACCTGTTAGTTAGAAGTCCACGCCTCTAACCACTGGGCTACGAGCCCGCTACCCTGTTGGTTTTCGATCGGGAATATACAATGGTAGGGCGACGGACTCGTGGCCCACTGATTAGAGACGTGGACTTCTAACTAAGAGATCGCGAGTTCGAGCCTCTGGTGTTCCACACTTCGGGGTTGGGTATGATTGATTGACGACGGCTAGTAAGCCAGAAATGGCCATTCCAGTCTCCCTTGTCTTTGTCGGTAATAACATAGTACTTTCTTGTGCTCATTTAGTAGCAAATTACCTTCTCATTAAGTTTCATACTCTAGGAGAGGGTACTTTTTGATTTTAAGAAATCGTCTCACCACGTACTTTTGAAGACCATGACATTCTTACTATTTAAGCGGTCGTTTTAGCAGAGTGCAACTTCTACAGGCTGCCGGAAGGAGGCTCATTCAAAATCCGGCGTCCAGACAGGACTAAAATATTTTGGGTTCATGCCGTATGATAATTAATATTATAACCCCAAGTAAACAATTCCTTGAGTCGAAAACTTACCAGAATTTCGGCCAGAACTTCAGGAGATAGCGCAGCTACTGTAAGTCAGCCAAACCTGCAGCGCAGGAGGCTAGAAAGTTGAGTCTATTCATCCCTAGATGAGATTTTTCGGCCGTATTCTTCAGTGTTTCACAGTCTATCAACAATACACATTACAGAAAATGATATAACAACAAAGACTGAATATGTAAGCTCATTGAGAAAGTAGAGTACAGGGTACTCTGTAATAGGGTAAGACTTTTTACTAGTTTTTTTCACTAGGGCAGACGATTAACGGAATCGGCGGGAAGCA